GTTTCTGTATAACTGTAGTAAGCAATTTTTAAAGATGGTAGATGCTACTGTAATTATTTCCTGTCTGTAAAGTTTCTGTTCATTCAAGTCTCTGTTAGCTTTTAAAGTGATGGTGGAAAAATTCTGTAGCTAGTATATTATTTCCACAGGATCAGGCAGTTCTCTACCTAACCAGGGAAGGATGAAGGCCCTTAGGTTAAATTTTAGGTAAAAGCTTCCTGGCCCCTACTAACTCCATCTGACGTGTTCAATCTGGCCTTCAAAAGAATAGAAGCCAACTGTTATAAACATCAATGAAGTCATAAAAAGGCATATCACAAAAGTACCCCTAGAAGATTCTCATCTACTGTTCTTTAACCTACAACAAGGGATCACAATAATATTACCCAGTCATTTCCAAACTTGCCTCATTGCAGAGTTGCCTATGGTGGGCATTGTTTATACAGATTACCAGGCTCTTCACTTAGAGATTGAGATTTGGAGACAACATATCCTCAGGGCTGTAGTCCTACATATTAATATTGGTTGGTTATGACTGTTATTAGTAATTCCTACTCTATAACTCATGTTATTGCAGTAACATTTTTGTCCAGTGTCTTATAATGAAGTACACTGCAGTTGCCAGTGACAGAGTAAAATCATTTTTTACATGGATTAGGAAACCAGAAAGAGTATAAGGTATTAATCATTTGTGTGTGCGTGCGTGCATGCGTGTGCGTGTGTGTGTGTGTGTGTGTTCCAAGTTTGAGTCCATTCTTGTGGACTCTGGAAAATTTTTTGACTCACCAATGTTCTCATCTGCAAAATTAGAATAGTAATGAATACCGAATTCATAAGTTTCTATGAGAATTAAAGGTAAGAGTATCCGTAAAGCCCTTAGCACAGTGCCTGGCACATGGTAAACATTCAACAAGGGTAGCTTATTATTGCTATTATCAGTTACATTCCAGGATTTAAATCTTTACAATCAGATGGTATTTTGCCCAAAAGTTTGCCTCAATTTTTCATTTTTTGATAAAAGTTATGTCCTCAAACAATTTAGTTTTTGTGCCATCACATGTGATTACACCTAAATGGGAATTTTCTAGAATGTCTGTGCTGTTTTATTATTTCATAACTCTCAGAGTTACAAAACCTGCAGATGTCTTGTTTGACCTGTACATTTGAAAACATGAATTGGTCTCAACATTTGCTTATTTAGAGAATTCACCCCAAAATTTAATTTCCAGATTTTGTAGGATATTGAGGTTTAAGTGTTCGGGACCCCTTGTTCTCTAGCACGAGTCGAGTTGAGTAGGGAGCTGCCCCCTTTGAATGGGGCACACATGCTCTTGCTTCTGTCTCCTAATTGATGTGACTCACCTGGCTCTTGTAGGCATCTGAGTTTGTCACCACAACACCCAAGGCGATGTCTTATTTTCTCATATATCTTTGCTTGTCGCCGAATAGCCAAGCAGGTCATGACGGATGACCTGAAAAAACAGCCACTTAAACTGCCCTTTACACCAACAGACTGTTCTCAACCAATCAACACAGCAGACCCCCAGGTGAATATCCACAGAGCTCTCACCTCTGTGGTTTTTTGACACCTCCTGACTGAAGTTGAACCCCCAGCCTGGCACTCAAGATAAACCCCGGCTCCAGTCCAATTCCACCTTCCTTTTCCAGCCATATTCCACTCTTCCCCAGTTAAACCAGCTGCATCCCCCACCATGTTCTGAACCTGCCTTATGCTTCCCCAGCTCTGACTCTCTGCCTTCTCTCTATAACCCTTTCATGCAAAAGCCCACTCGGCTTTTAAATGCCATCTCCCCTCTGATGCTTCTTTAATTTTCTCAAGTATATGTGATCTCTTATCATTTGGCATTGTTATCATCCTTGGTTTATAAACATGAAATAGCATATATCCCATATTATCTTGTACTCTAGTTAATTATGTGCACCCCTTAATTCTGCCGCTTGATGTGCGTGCGGGTCCCTTCCCACCCTCCAGCACCTTATGGCAGAAACCATGTCATGGTCATCATAGTACCACCAAACTGAGTACCCAACATATTGTAAAGGATACTCAAAATATTTAAGTCCCGGAATACATTTCCATTCTAAGGAGAAAATGCTATTAATTAATAATCTCTTCTCCTTTATCCTATTACAACATGAAAACTTACTTTTTCTCAAATAGTGTTTTCGGCCCTCCTTATAAAGCTTAACTGAACATTAGCCTTTACCATGTTATGTGCTTGATGTCTTAGAGTTTTAGTTCCATTAACTGAGAAATGGGGATAATACAACCTCTAGTTTGGTCATAAGGATTCACGAGTTAACGCAATAAAATGCCTGGCACAGAGCAAACATTAAGTGCATGGTTATTATTATTACCATGTAGAAACTCACCTATTATTTAAACCAGTTTAGAAATGGCTTGCTTCATGCTCTTTTTCTAAAATAATTCTTAGAAAAGAGCAGATCAGAGATTATAGTTGGTGTGCCCTACAGAAATGCATTTTGCTAAAACAAACAAACAAACAAAAGTTATTTCAAATATCAATGGTACAGGCAATAGTAGCTTTTTAAAAAGTATACTTTTATAACCACCAAGGTAATGATTGATTCAGGAAAAGATTACTAATGAATGTTAAAACCATTGGGTGAAAGTATGTTGAGAAACAGGATATTTGTACAGTATCACAGTTTTATCCCAGATTACCTATTAATTGCAAAGGGAAAAGCTACTTTTACATTGGAGAAATTTGGTAGCTGTTATTTCAACCAAGTGGTCAAAATTACCATCACCAAAGAAAAACCATAACTGACATGCAATAAGATTTACATTAGCAGAAAATAAAAACAAAAAATAGAAATTAAAAAAAAAAACCACCATCACCATTATGGGTCAAACAGACCTTTGTGATGTGAGGCAATGAGAAGGACATGACATCAACAATGTAGTATTCTTAGGAAAAAAAAAAAAATTAACCTGACCCTACCAAAGAGGGACCAACTGGACAGACCCAGACTGGCAGCAAATCACAAAACAATTGACTGAGACTCTTCAAAT